AGAAAGAAAGAAAGAAAGAAAGAAAGAAAGAAAGAAAGAAAGAAAGAAAGGAGAGAAGGAAGGAAGGAAGGAAAAAGCAAACTAGAAAAACAAAAATAAACAGAACCCAAAGTTAGTGCAAGGAAATAGTAAACAGAAATAAATGAAAAGCAAACAGAAAAAAAATAAAATAACTATAAAACAAAGATCTGTGCTTAGAAATAAGAACAAAAATGATTAATCTTCAGGTGCAGAGAAGAATCAAATAAAACCAGAGACAAAAATACTGTTTCCTTGTAACTACTTGTGGAAACAGATGCAGAGACTCGAAGCCAAACAATAGGCCAACCTCAGGTAGTTTTGTGGAAGAGTAGGAGAAAAGATTGAGGGATTTGGAGGGGTCAAGGACACCATAAGAAGACTGACAGAGTAAACTAAGCTGGGCCCATGGGGGCTCAAAGAGACTGAACCACCAGCCAAAGAGCATGCATGGGCTGGACCTAGGCGCCCTTCAGATACATAGCAGATGTGCAGCTTGGTCATCATGTGGGTCCCCTAACAACAGGAGTACTGACTGTTTCTGACTCTGTTGCCTGCTTTTGGATCCCTTTCCCTCAGCTGGGCTGTCTTGCCTGCCCTAAATGGGAGAGGATGTACTTAGTTCTGCTGCAACTTGAGGTGCCAGGGTGGGCTGGTACCACTTGGTGGCCTCCTCCTTCTCTGGAAAGAAGGAGAAGGAAAGTGGGGCATGAGGGTGGGACTAGGAGGATAGGAGGGAGGGTGCTGGGATCAGGCCGTAGGGTGATTAAAAAAATAAATGGGGAAAAAGAAAAGAAATCCTGATGCCAGGGCAAACCTCAGATTCACTACCTCAGGACTGGACATAGGCCATGAGATTTTTTTTTTTTTTTAAAACAAACTTTTGTGGTAGACTACTTTAATTTATGTCTAGTCTAGCCATTTATTTGCTCACTACTTTCAAAATGTAAGTTATTTTTTTAAAATCGTAAGATGTGTTTGTAAAACAAAGCTTTCTCCAATTCTTCATAGAAAGATTTCTACAAGTGGTTTGCCAAGTCACTGCCAGGGAAATGGCCAACATCCATGGAGAGAGTTTTATAAAGTGAAAACACCAGCACCCTTTTTGTGAGGAAATGTGCAGACACACACACAGTGGGTGTCTGCCGAGATAAACTCGCTCCTGGGGTAAATGGAGAATCTGCTTTGTTGAAGGATTGTCCGGTACGGAGGTTTTGCAAAGGTTTATTTCACAGCACCGGACGTGCAGAATACTGCTGATGACTTGGACTTTTCCAACTTTCCAGCTGAGGAGCTCAAAATGTCAATGACAACTTTCACTAAAATGTTTCTTTTTAATCTTTAAATTTTAGAGTTTGTATACAGTTCAGTGCACCAGGCAAATGTTTATGCATCTCTCCCTGTTAGCCCAGGTCAGACAGGAGGGGAGGAGGTCCTCCCCTATCAGTGGACTAGGAAAGGGACATGGAGATGGGGGGAGAAGGGGGAAAGCAGGGAGGGTGGGACCCGGAGGAGATGAGGGAGCAGACTACAGCCATGATACAAAGTGAATATATTGTAATAAATAACAATAATAAAAAAATTTAAAAAGATAATAATAAAGAAAAAAGTACATTTCTTATGAGTAACTACATTGGTACTAGAAAGGTATTTCCTGAGGATTCAAAAGCAATTAAACTTCTAATCTTAATAACACTGAACTAAACCTGGGTGGCACAGGCCTGTAATCCCAGCACTCTGGGCGGCAGAGGCAGGCAGATTTCTGTGAGTTCGAGGCCAGCTTGATCTACAAAGAGAGTCCAAGACAGTCAAGGCTACACAGAGAAATCCTGTCTCAAAAAAACAACAAAATAAAACAAAACAAAAACAGAAAACAAAATGGTGATGATGATGATGATGATGAACTCAATTTTATTATACTATTCCAGCCTCTTAGAATTACAGACAATCTAGACATTTAAATATTTTATTATAACCCAAAGGGCATAGTACAAGTACTTGCTGTAATTAAGTTTTCTACTTTTTAGAAATGCTTTCTATATTTTTAGAAATACTTTTTAACTCTAAAGTTAATAAGTCCCATGGATGTTAATGTAGCCCAGGCTGGCCTAGAACTCACCATGCGGATGTGGGTAACTGAACTGGTACTCCAGCCTCTACCTCCCAAGTGTCTCCCTTGCATATTCCTTATTTGACTTGCCAGCCTTGAATTCAGTGAAAAGCCTTTACTTTTGCTTCCCTGAGTCCATTCAGTGGCTCAAAGGACTTTGTAAAGCAAGTATGATAAAATAAAATAAAAAATCAAGTATCAAATATAATAAATTTGAACCAAAGATTATGTCTATCTCAGGAAAGAAAGTCACAGGTACCTGAAGCTTACATACACCTCATTTAACTCATTTTTACAACTTATTAGCATATGGGGAAAGCAGACTGTAGGGTGTGGAGTGCCCCCCCCCAAAAAAAAGCACAAATTAAGCAGACATTCAAAGCTTTCATAATAGTATCTTAGGATGGACTCTAAACAAACTAGACAAGTATAAGATGTGGTGGTGGGGTTTCGGGGAGTGAACCCAGAGACTCTACATGCTCCACTATTGGCCTACACCCCCAGCCTCTGACAGATGAGATCATTAAAGTGAACACCTAGGTGCTTTCATAAGCATCTCAAAACCCATCAAGAGGATGTAGGCGGAATGCAGGACCAGTGTGGCAATGGACGGACTGGTGGAAAACCACCCACAGACTAAAGTCAGTGTATTCGGGAACTCAGAAGAAACCTACCATCCACTCTGTTTTTCAGGCTTGGCCATTGAAAAGCATGTGCAAAATCACAGCTGTCAGCCACCTCTGGTCCCACATGTTAGAGTAGGGATTCTAAACTACATACTGTTCGGATTAGTGGATTTTTGAGCAAGATAGAAAGCATGAAGTTGTGTAGGTCCAATTTCTTCCTTGACTTTCTCTTTCCCGTTCCCAGTCAGCTTCTCCCCTTCCATGCAACTGAGTCAGGTCCAGTGACTGATGGGCCTCAGGTCAAACTGCAAGTTACGTCAGAGCTGCAATTAGAACCCAAATCTCAGCTACCGGAGCCAGCCAACCAACTGCTCCTGAACAAATCTGCCTTAGTCTCCTGAGCCGTGTAATATGCTGAATCCTGCATTCACATTCTATCTGCTGTTGGCTCCAGACTCCTAAAGAATTCAAGCAGAGCACCCTTCCAACCCTTCCAAATGGGAAGAATCCTCGAGATGAGGACTCAGTGTCTCTAGGCTCTTTCCTCATCCCGAGGAGCTCACAGAACTGCAGACCTCTGAGGAACTTTCCAGATATAAACTACTTTCATCTTCCAGTTCTGTCCTTTCTGCACTTCTCACTAGGTGGCAGAATTCAACCAACAAAGAAAGGATTTTCTGATGGATGCCTGAAAGCAGAAATTTTCAAAGAAACTTCTGTCTTCACAGGGAACATTTGTAAAAGGTGGAAACGACCTAGGGAAAGAATAGCTACAAAGGCAGTGGCCCCTAGGCTTCACAGAGCTCTAGATTCATTTTAAACCTAAGTATGCAACAAGAAAGTAACCTCTTATGCCTTCATATGCTGCCACAGAATTTCACAGTTCAAAGTTAACATTTGACTAAAAGTTCTCACGTCCTGGTTTTTTAATTTCATTTTAGCTGAATGCCAATTAGAAACTAGAGCTCTCTGTCATATTGTGGGTATTGTGCTAAACAGAAGATCAAAATCTAATGTGACAAAAATAAAGAACGTTTTAAATAGCCATTAGGTGCACCAGAAAGTTAATTATAATTAGTGCATATGTAAAGTATCTGTGAATACATTGAACATACTCAATAGGCTGCATTGATATGTTTATGACCATACATACATACATACGTACATACATACATATTTAACCATTAAAGAAGAAGAGGCCAGAAAAATTTAGGAGGGGGATGGATGGGAAGAGTTGGAGGAAGGAAAGGGAGTGGAGGAAAATAATGTAATTATATTTTAGCATAATAAAAATTAAAACATAATAAGGATCTATGACTAGCTTGAGCTTTTAGCCAGATAAGCATAGTTGATGATTCAATCAACTTGGGCTTTTCACATTTCTTTAAATCCTTGAAAGGCTACTCTCTTAAACAGACATGTCGGTTCCTCATACCTTAAAGATTATTGCTCCAAACTGGCTTTTGGGGGCCTGGTGCACAATAACTACCTAATGCTAATTAGAGCCCACCAAATGGCCGTGCCCAGGGGGGTTACAAGGAGGCCCTCTCCTCTCTTGGCAGTCCAGCCGTAGTGAACAGAAGGCATCAAAGCAGTGTAAGGCTGCTGGCTGTCAGATAACCAGTCTTTATCTTCACCTGATACGTATAGCGTTCCTTCCATTAACTGATAGCTAATTACATAGCCTATGGCGTACGTTTCTCCACAAAATTCTTAAAAAAAAAAAAAAAAGCCACATCCTAGATAAATTCATCGACAGCGCAGAAAGATAGAAAGAGCATCAACAGGTTGTTTTCGTCCATTCCTTCCCCCGCATCCAACAGCCCAGCTCTCCTCTCTGGGTCCTCCTACCTTTGCGACTTGCAAGGGCTGCTTCTGCTCCTTGCCTCCTTGCAGTCTGAACCCCCAGGGCGCCCCTCCAGTCATGGAAATGCAGATAAAATCTCCCGTGCCCATTTTCTCCTCTCAGCTGGGCAGCATCAAGAGCCCGAGAAAGACAGGCAGACGAGGCCGGGTGCCGTGAAGGATGCGCCTTAAGCTAAGCTGGTGCGAAGGGCGCAGGACGCAGCGCTGCCCCGCGGCCAGCTGCGGGGAAAGTGCGCGGAGGCCGAGCCGCCCCACGGCCCTCCCAGCACCTGTACCGCCCTCTCTTGCGTCACACTCTTTGCTCGGCCCACTGTCAGCGAAAAGGACAGAGCCTCACACCAAAAGAAAAATCCCTGTTTGGGACAAAAAGGGAAGAACGCGGAGCGGGGAGAACAATGCGGCTCTGGCTTTAGCAGATCCAGTGTCAGCGCTTGATAGAACAGAGATTTAATAATTCTATAAATAGCAGCCAGCTCGTGGGAGTTTTAACCTCCAGGAGGAACCGGCTAAATCATAAGCTCCCAGAACCCAATTACTAGAGAGTTAGACTCTCAAAGAAATACTTGCATGTTCACCACACTGGTGAATGCAGAGGAAGAGGTAAAACATGTTTCATTACTGTTCTACCTGCTGCCGAAGAATGCAACCCTCTAAAGGGGCGAAATGAAACACAGGCATTTTTGAAAATCTTTTTCTGAAACTGTACTTTTCTGAACTAACGTGGGTTTAAAGGAGGAAGGCGGAAAGAAAAAGGGGGCATTCCACCGGAAACTATCTTCTAATAACCTTTTCTGTTGCAAACTTTGAGATATTTTGTAATTTTTCTGGTGTTGTTTGAGACTTTCATAACGCTTATAACGCGTGCGGGTCCAACCCACCTCCCATCCCTTTCCCTGCCAATTCTTCGGCTCTTCCCACCACTTCCATTCACTCCCGATTTCATGTGCTCGTTTGGTAAACCGAGTCCTCTTAATGCTGCCGGTATGCGTGTGGGTGAAGGATAATCTTCTGGAGCATTGGTGCCACATCCCCTGACGAAAACGGACTCTCCCTCTCCCAGTAGCCATCAGCTGCCAGATGCTCCCAAATGCATACAGAGATAATCAACACCGTGGCTGAATAGCTGCGAGGTCAGCGTGAATACCGTGAAGGCGCTGTCACCAGCAACAATAGCTTCCGCACAGAGCTGCTGGCTGCTGCCTTTCCTTTCTCAGTCCTGAAGCATTCAAGGTCAGCGTGCATCACTGCCTGCCGGGGTGCTGCCAACATCGGGCAAAGACCACAAACCGCCGCATTTACTCAGCATTTCACAGTTCTGGAGGTGCTGTGCTTCGTAGGTCTTGTGTTTGAGCAACTGTGGCCTAACCTAGCAAAGGTGGGTCGCCAAGAGTAGGCTTGGAAGGGCATGTCCTCTCCTGGCTTTGGCCAAAGCTTTCTGCTTCCTATCTGCTTCAAGATATGAGGAGCCCAAGCCATACTCTCCTGCTGCCCACGATAAGCCCTTTCCCCCTTAGGTTGGCTCTGTCAAGTGTTTCCTCATAGGAGGGCGAAAGTAACTCATACAGGAAGGTTCTGAGATCAGGGTGTCTGTAGAGATGGTTCTCAGTGTTTCCTTTGGCTTGTAGATGGCTCTCCCTTATGTTTTCACAGCGTGGGTTAGTAAGTTTTCACAGTGT